CATGTTTATTTTTTTTATTAGTTATTTGTCTGTTTTATTTTATAATTTCTTATTGCTAATTTCTTCAAAAATGATTAAAAAAAAGGTGTGAATCTAAAAAAAAAATGTTTTAACAATTTTTTTTGTATATACAGGGTGATTTTTAAAACACTGCAATCGCTCTAGAATTTTTATTTATGGCTCGATTTCAAAAATTAAAAAAGTAAATTAAATGGATTTTAATAAAGTATAATCCGACAATTTTACAATTTTCCTAAATGTCATAATTTATTTTAGGTTACATTCAACTTTCTAATTTTAATGCAAAACCCACATTTTTTTCCACATAATTTGAAAGGTATTAGTCTTCTTAGTACTTAACATGTGCAAATTGTTCTACTTTTACTAAAAATTATTATTTAAAGAAATAATAAAGGTTAATAAAATCTAGTTGCATGGTGTCAAATAATACAATAGCATTATTATGTCAAAAAACCGCCAAATGAAAGAAAATATTGCCAATATTGTTCAAATTTTTAATAAGAAATGGTTTTTTGAATACTTTTTTTAACTTTGACATATTTTTTAGTAAAAGTAGAATATATTGCACATGTTTGTACCAAGAAAAATAACAAAAAGGTTTGTTTTGAAAAAAATTATATATTATATAATGAGCACATAATGGTGGCTATAATACACGAGCCAAGGACGAGTATATAAAACATCCAATATTAATTTATTATTATTTAATAATATAACATAAAGAAAAACAATTAAAAATCGCATCAATTTAATACCAAACACTGAAAGTACGAATTTTTGACAAATTTAAAAAGTTTGATTTTTTCAAATTTATTTTTTTTATTAGTTAATTATCTGTTTTATTTTATAATTACTTATTGTTAATTTTATCAAAAATAATTTAAAAAAGGCGTGAATCTAAAAAAAATGTTTTTATCATTTTTTTGTATATACAGGGTGATTTAAAAAAACGGCAGACGTTCTAGAATTTTTATTTATGATCCGATTTCAAAAATTAAAAATTGAATTTAAATGGCTTTAAACTTAGTATAAGCCGACAATTTTAGAATTTTTCTAAATATCATACTTTATTTTATGCTATACCCAACGTTCTAATTTTAATTTGGAACCCATATTTTTTTCTACATAATTTGAAAYGTATTAGTTTTCTTAGTACAGACATATGCAATTTGTTCTATTTTTATTAAAAATTATTTCTTAAAAAAATATTAAATTTGAAAAAAAATTAATAAAAGTTAGTAAAATCTAGTTGCATGGTGTCAAATAATACAATGCCATTATTATGTCAAAAAACAGCCAAATGAAAAACAATGTTTTGCAAATTTTTAATAAGAAATGATCTTTATTATTTTTTTTAACTTTGATAATTTTTAGTAAAAGTAAAACATATTTCACATCTTTGTACCAAGAAAACAAACAGGTTTGTTTTGAAGAAAATAGTATATTATTTAACGAGCACATAATGGTGGCTATAATACACGAGCCATGGACGAGTATATAAAACACCCATTATTAATTTATTATTATTTACTAAGATTAAATAAAAAAACACAATTAAAAATCGCATCAATTTAATACCAAAAATATACAGAGTGCCTCAGTTACAATTTATATTCAGTCAATTGCCCCCAATTGGGCCCAGTCTTGACCTTCACCGGAAACGGAATTGACAATTTGACACTTTCCTCCATTTCCTTCTTTAAAATTCGAACAAAATTCCCTAGACTCGCTTCCGGTACTTCGTATAGCAACTCATCGTGAAGATGTAATACCAACTTGACTTGTTTTTCCCCTAAAAACACCGTTTCAAGCCTTATCATCGTCCTCTTCACTATATCAGCAGCAGAACCTTGGATTGTGGTATTGACAGCTTGACGTTCGGCTTGACCTATCAAAACACTCAAAACAAAACCTCAACCAATCAAAACACTTACTTCTAACAGCGCCATTTTTGTGGTTAATGTGCGGCAAAAAGCGCCTCCTACCGGCCAAAGTTTCAACAAAACCTTTTTTACGACAAGTCTCCACCACCTCAGTGACGTATTTTTGGACCCCTGGGTAGGCATTTCGAAATGATTGCATAAATCTAGTCGCCTGTGACTCTTCAATGCTCAATTGCTCGGCTAACGCCTTGCTCCCCATCCCGTATATAATCCCATAACAAATTTGTTTTGCCCGTTGACGCAACTCTTCTGTGACCTTGAACCGTCATTTTGACACTAATTACTCAAAAAAAAAACCTCAAATACCTCAATTTCTGACATTCCGTTCCATTTCGCCGCCACGGCCCGAAAGATGTCGCCCTCCCTCCTCAAAATCTGACACAAGACCTCATCACGTGACAAGTGCGCCAAAATCCTCAATTCCAATTGGCAGAAATCGGCCGAAACCATCACGTGACCATCGTTTGGAACAAATGCCTGTCGACAACTAACCTCAATACCGGAAATGTCAAAATTTTTTGCGACATTTTGTAAATTCGGTTCGTGCATACTGATCCGACCTGTCGCAGTGTGGGTAACATAACAACCGAAAATTCGGCCATTTTCCACCAATCGAATGAGCGGTTGCAAGGTTTTACTAGTGGCAGCACTGATTTTACGCCATTTGAGGATCAAGTCAGCGAGTGGATTGGCATTTTTTTGCAAACTTTTTTTCCCAGTGTCTGATTGGAGGATTTTTGACAGTTGTTTAGACGAAGCGAAGGAAAAATGGCGGCCGGCGAGAGCGTGACCTTGACGCTCGATAGTCTTTTGTTCACGTGTGAGTAAGTCGACTAGATTACTTAGAGCGGGTTTATTGACCCCAATCCCAGCCAACTCCATATTGGCCAAAATGCGCAAAATTGACATTTCAAGGTCTAAAATGACAGAACTAGAACTAAAACAATGACTAGAAATAATACAAACCAAAAACTGTCAAAAGATTAATTTCTGACAGTTGAGTTTTGACACTTTTCACAATTTGCCAACTGAGATAACACTCAAAAATTGAGCGTAATTTCGGTTCCAGGACCGGCTTTACTAACATTGGGCCCAAATCCGGGCAATAAACTTGAACCAACTCTTGTAGGTTTTTTTCACGCCCCTCAGGTTCCAACAACCAATCAGCGACTTTCGGGTCTTCGACACGTGACCCAAACTCCACCCCACACCACTTTTGTAACACTTTGATTTGTTCTTTGCAGTCGCACATAATGATCGTTTTTTGTTTATCATTGACAATATGGCGGATCACGTCTATAGTTTCACGTTTTTTATTCATATCGAGATAGTAGGTGGTGGAGCCGCCCCAAAAGAGGGCAAACCCCTCAATTGTAACCCCAGTGTCACTCAAACCAATCACTCGTCGAGTTTTAACACACGAGACGAGGGCGAGTGACACAATTGTAGCACTTTTGACTTCTTGAGTAAACGAGCCGAAGAGGCGGTCATGACTACACACATCGACTGTTTCAAGGTCAAATGACATCCGAGGTTTCTTAACGGGGGTTTCCCCGCTTCCACGACGTCGCCCCCTCTTTTTGGGGGTTTTGAAAGACACGCTTTCGTCCTGTGAGGCCACTATGAAGTCTCCTGTTGAATTCAAACTAATCTCAGACTTGATTGGGCCCCATTTCGCCTCTTTGAGTCCCATTTCGATCCTCAAAAACTCCCGCGCACTCCTCAAAATCAACTCAGCGGCTTGTCCCTCAGTCAAGCCCTCTTTTCCCGTGATCCAAATGTTGCGAAATTTGTTGCGCCGTCTCAGCGCATGCTCAGTTTCCCCCTCCCTCAATTTGGTACTTTCGAATGGTACCACTTTGAGGAAAATCGATTCGATTGTGTCCACATCCGAGTTGGCGATTTGGATGAGTGTTTCAAGACCGGAATTGTATAAAGCTCGTGCGCTGCGTCCATTAAGCAGAGGCAAACGCATCAAATCAAGTAGGTCACGTGATACACCAAAATGGAGGCGATCTTGGAATTGCGAAATGAGGATTTCGACATTCGACCAACCCAATTGTCGACTGAAGGAGGTTACCATACCGGCAAAGGTGGCGGCTGTCAATTGTAACATTTGTAACAAACCGCGGTTACAACCGAATTTGGCACAAACCGCCGACAGGGGGCGCTCATTAACCAAGTCTTGGAGTGCTAGTGCTATATAGAATCTTTTGTGCACTTGGAGCTTTTGATAGAGTTGCGAGGTACTAGTTTGGGGGTTACCACGCGTTCCTGCAACTATATAACTCTCTCTTACCCCCACCAATTCCCCCACCTTTCGCATACTGGAGGGGAGCTTCTCCCATATTTGCAAATAATTCATCCAATCAAGATGGCCCCATTGGTGACACGCACTATACGGAGTGACCAAATAAACCAAATGGAGTTCAGTATCCAAAACAAAACACTGTCGTGCCTTGTCCAATTCTGCGAAAAGGGCAAGACCATCTTCGGGTGGTATTGACGAAGTCAAGCAGGCTTTGCCAAGCCCACTTGGTGTATATTTCTGATCACCAAGACGAAGAAACTCATTGGTTGTCAAAAAATCCAAAGCCTCCTCAACACTAGTGTGACCCAAAAGGGTACATTTTGCAAATAAATGAACATCATCAGGGGTGGTGGCTACTCCACTTGCTACTATTTCCAAGATGGCGCGTCTTAATCGTCCATCTTGTTCCAAACAACTGACAATCGGGTCCAACTCCTCCTCGAATAATTTTCTAACGAATTTTTCGTCACTTTTTTGACACACTAGTATACTTTCACCGGATGTATCCTTACCCATACGCCCCGCCCTTCCGACCATTTGCCGGTAACTCAACCCATCGATGGGTCTCCCATGGAACATGGGCGTGCGTATAATCACCCGTCGTGCCGGTAGATTAACCCCCGACGAAAGCGTCGATGTAGCTACCAAAACTCGGATAACTCCGCCCCTAAACCCGCCCTCGATTATATCACGCTCATCCATGGTCAAGCCGGCGTGGTGAAACGCCACCCCAAAAGACACAGTTTTGCGTAAAACATCGTCCAAACCAATCGGACTGAGCGATAGTTGTGTCAATAGCTCGGCAATCGCCTCGGCGTTTAATTGTTTATGGAGGGCGTGGTTTGTGTCGCCCCGCCCCAAAGTATAGAACGCTTGTGCTATCTGCGTGGCTAAATTCTCGCACCAGTTTTTCGTCGGACAGAAAATCAAGACGGAACAGTTGGCTGTGATCGTCTCGAGACACAATTGGAGGATGTGGTCGGTGTCGGGGTGGGGGAGGGGCTCCAAGCGGCGCACCAATGAGAATTTCGTGTCGTAGAGTGTGTCGCCTAGCAACACTTGTTCGTGTAAGGGGATTGGTCGGAAGTCGGTGACGTACAGTTCGGCGTCTAGCCAATCAGCGAGGGTTTTGAGGTTAGGGAGAGTGGCACTCATGCCGATTATTTGTATTTCAATTGTTTCATCTTTCAAGGTCATGTATTTGAGTTTCGTTAGCAAAAGTTCAAGGATGTAGCCTCGGTGGGATTCCCCGAGGAGGTGCATTTCGTCGATGACGACAGCCCCAATTTCCCCCAAACTCCCATCTTGGAGGAACGTATTAATGAGACTGTTGGCCTTCTCGATGGTACAGACGGCAAACTGGACCGATTTGAACCCCCCAGGGGGGTTGTACGACCCCATGAAGCCCTCCACACGCACCCCACTCCCCCCAAAAATATCTTGAAAATAAAACATCTTCTCCCGAACCACTGACACAAAAGGGAGGATAAAAATCACTTTTTTTGACCTTTCTAACACAGTTTTGATCGATAAAATCTCAGCGACTAGAGTTTTACCGGCCGAGGTGGGAGCCGAGTAAACCAAATTTTTATTCATTTTCAACACTTTTGGGTTATTGAGACACTCTACCTGCCAGGGGAACATCCTAGTAATCTTCCGTGACGTGTATTTGTCCAAAATGGCGGCGGGGAGGCCCCATGATGCCAATGCTTGATTGTCATTGGTCGGTTCCAGGTCACGTGTTTGCAATGGGGAGGGTTCCGCCAACGGCGAGTCGTCATTGGTCGGTTTTAGGTCACGTGGCGAGTCGAAAAGACTCGATTGGCTTTGAGTGTCATTGGCCGGGTTCAGGTCACGTGGCGAGTCGAAAAGTCCCGATTTGGGGGAATCACACCCGAAAATGTCACTGTCCATGCTCGAATTATACTTTTCGTTCTGTAAGGTTGGTACTAGAGGCGAACTGAAATAATCGTCGATTTTTTTCGTTTCTTGATCCGAGTTTTGCAAAATTGAGAGTTCTTGTGAGTCGAGGAAGAGGGAGTCGTCGAAGGAAACGCCATTCTTGGGTTGAGACACCGAATTTGCGAAATTTGTGAAATTAAAATCATCAAAAGTGTCATTCAGCATAATTATAAATAAATAAATAACCTAAAAAGCCACACTTCCACTTGATTAATAAATTAAATTACTTATATACAGATAATAAATAAAAACGAACGATTATTTACAGCATGTTTACAAAACTTGTGAGGTTAGCAATTTGAATTGTCAAATTTGACAGCTCTCAATTTTTACCAACGAAAATGTAAATTTTGCGGCCTTGAGACGTTGCATTGTTGAAAAATTAAGCCAAATAGTGGTTTTTTAATCCTTGCAATCACTTTCGTTGCATATTTATTTTTTTTAACTTCTTTTGTACGTTTCTTGGATCGTGAACGAAAACGCGAAATTTCACAAGCGCGAAAACTTTTTACGTGATTTTATTTATATTTGACTAAAAAACAACAATATTACCACTATTTAATAAGGTTCTAATAGAAAACGTAAAACAAACATTCAAAATATTTTATTTAAAAAAAAAATAATTTGGTGAATTGTTGGTTGCCTGACGTAAACATTTAAATACAGTTTTTTTGGTAGTTTCACTTACATTTGATCAAAAAAAAACACCAGTATCACATTTATTTAATTACGTGTAAATGGTAGAAGCACAAAAATTGTTTAAAATATTTTATTGTTTAAAGATTAAAATTTAGGTGTATTGTTGGTTGCCTACAGCGTGGCCGTTTTGGGCAAAGTCTAAAAAAAATAAAGATGCCCGTTTCGGGCTCCACTAAATTGTGGTTTTCTACGCAGAATCGCCCTCTTTCCAGCAGCATCCCAATCAATGCTCCCAATCCCTCTCCATTCACAAAACACATGTTTGAAAGTGAAACTCGAATTTTTTCTACACTTTTTTTCACACTTTTTTCTTTACTTTACACCCCACCTGTCACGGTAAGCCCCACTTACTGTCACACTAATCGCAAAAACCACTTTTAGGCTCTAGTTCATCACAGGACGCGACGAGTTTGTCGCATTTTAAACAAATTCGAAAATTTTAAAAATGAAACAAATTACACTATTTACACGACTGTCAATTGTTACCACTCGTGTTGCGATGAGGGGTGTTGCATCTGGTCGACTGGCTCGTAATTAAATTAATTAAATTGGTTAATTAATTAATTAATTGGGGATTTTAGACTCGTCCTAATTTTAATTGTTGTGGTGATTTGTTCGTGTAAATGCTTGAAGATGTACTGGAGGGCGAATTGTACGAAACAGGACAGTGGTGCCAACTCACAAGAAAACATTTTAATGGACTTGCAAAGTTGGTAACAATTTTGACACTAAAAAAATAAAAAAAATCAATTTTTCAGATTTTTCACGCGATTATGGCACTAGTGACTTTTCGCCCCCTCCCCCCTACCACATAGCCTCCAATTACCCCCAACCCGGCGATAAAATCCCCACGTATGAGGAGGCATGCAACCAACAATGTTCGCATTAATACGAAGCACACTGTACTTTTTTTTTTTCAATAAAATTAAGTGTTTCAATACGCAGAATCGAGTTTAAAAATGTTTTTTTACACAAGTGTCCTGTTTGTCCTCTCATGGATTAATAAAATCGAGGTGAGCCCTTTAAAAATTCGATTTTTGGCCAATTTATTCGAATTTAGGCCCGAAATAACAAGCCCAAAATTTGCAAATTTCGGTCATTTGAGGGCCCCCAGAAGTACAATTTCACGTGGAAGACCGTCCATTGCCCCAACTCGTGGTGCTGCTCCCATGGGTGCTGTCCCTGGTACATCAACTTGTGAGCCCCCATGACCCCCTAAGCCCCCTCAAAACTGTCTTTTTCAGCACCATTTGCGTCTTTTTGGTCGTGATTGTCTTTTCTATCATTAAAATACTCGAAGTTTGTTGCAAAAAGGCCGAAAATGCTGAGGAAACCACTGAAATGGCGACTCAAAGTTTGTGTTTTAAAAAAAAAAAATTGTAATTTAGTGTTTTTTTAGCGGTTAATTATGGGACAGCCCCCTGGACGTACCCCAATTGTAACAATCGCCCTTTGCCCCCGCTCGAAATAACCTTTTTTTCCAGATGCGTACTCGAGTGATAGTTTGGGGCCCTCGAGGGCCCCCTCAGACCCGGCCCCCAGCTACGACGAAGTTGTGGGGCACAAAATAGGCAACCAGTCACACACGCAATAAAATCGATACAGTCGGACGCCATTCTGGCGCCACCAAAGTCGTAAACCCGGTTTTAGGGACTTTGCAATAAAATTAATTATGGCCCTTGTTACTTAATTCACGTATTATGCAATAAAAACAAATAATTTAATTCAATAAATAAATAAATAAATAAATAAATAAATAAAAATTACCAAAGTTGGCTATTTGTTTGTCAAAAAATTCTACAATAAAATATCTATAAAAATTTTATTAGTCTAGTAGGCTTAGAAAATAAAAAAAAGCCTCAGAACTGTTTCAGCTACGTTCCTGTACGTTTCAAGTGTCAAAAATGTGACATTTTAGTGATTTTTAACCGATTTAAATAATCAAAGTTGGCTAGTTTGCAAAATTGTTAGAAAATCTTGTTGATCTAGTAGACCTTGAAGTGATGTTTTTTGTCACAATTGCGTTAATTGTCAACACTGTAAGTAGCAAAAACGCGAAATTTTACTGATTTTAAGCCAATTTTAGCCGTTAAATAAATAATCAAAGTTGGCTAATTTGCAAAATAGACAAAAATCGTGATGGTCTAGTAGGCCTAGAAGCTATGTTTCTGTTCACAAATGCATTAATTGTAATGTTGGTAACACTGTAAGTAGCAAAAACGCAAAATTTTACCAATTTTTGACCAATTTTAGCCGTTAAATAAATAATCAAAGTTGGCCACTTTGCAAAATTGTCAAAAATCGTGTTGGTCTAGTAGGCCTAGAAGCTATGTTTCTGCTCACAAATGCATTAATTGTAAAGTTGGTAATATTGTAAGTAGCAAAAAGCTAAATTTTACTGATTTTAGGCCACTTTTAGCCGTTAAATAAATAATCAAAGTTGGCTAATTTGCAAAATTGACAAAAATCGTGTTGATCTAATAGGCCTCGAAGCTATGTTCCTCTTCACAGTTGCGATAATTGTCACATTGGTAACCCTGTAGTAAGTCGCAAAAACGCGAAATTTTAGTGATTTTTGCCCCATTTTAGCCAAATGTCACTAAATCGGACTTTTGTTTAGTCAAAGACAGTTCATATTCGACGTATCTTGAAATAGTCAATTGTACCAACTTTGCATATTGTTGTAATAAAGGTTGTTGTAGTGACGCGTGGTACATCTGGTAACAAAAATCCCTAAGTTTGTCACCAAAAAAAAAAAATATATTTTTTAGGCCACTCGGTATACTAGTGATAATTTTTTTGTTATGTTGCCTAACCTGTGCCAAGGCTTGGTGGGACGTGTACAAAAACCGGCCACGAAATACAGGTAAAAAACTGAATAAATTAAAAGTTACCAAACACGTTTTTTAGACAACATGAGAGTGAGATATAGAACTAGTGATAATAGTGATAGTGATAATCCGCCATCTTATCACATCGCTATTTATTACCCCCAACCTTCGAATCGCGTCCCGTCGTATGAGGAAGTCATGGGGTGGGACAGGTGAGCCCACCTGGAAAAAACCTTGACAATGTAGGCAACCAATTATACACAAAACTGAATAAATTGTTTAAAATTGTGTTTCTCTTTTGCAAATCCACTTGTCACATGTCAAATATTTACACAAGATTGTGTTTTATGTTTTTACAACTTCTTGTGAAATTTTTACTGTTTTTGTCACATTTTTAGTCATGATTCGAGTGAGTGCGTTTATATACAGTGTGAGCGAGTAAAATATCTAGTAATTTCAGGGTTCCCACTTTTGTATCCTCCAAGAAGAAAAAACCTACAAGTTGGTTTACTGTGACCTTGAATTTAATCACTGTTGTGATAAAGGCTGTTGCAAGGAAATCACTTTTGATAATTCGTCTATCTACTTAACAAAAATTGATCAAAATCACGTTCCCTCAACCCCCTCCTTTCCAACCTACGTTTGGTAAATTAAATATAACACACTGAAAATCCCCCAGAAATTATTTTTTTTAGGTTGGTACTGGTTCTTGGTGTTTTTTGCTACATTTTGTTGTACATTTGTCACATTTTGAAAAAGGATGACGAGGAGGGGAGTCGGAATAACACGCCCCCTCAAACGCCCGAACTTAACCTCACTTTATCATTCAACCAATCAGGCGGGAGCAATTTTAATATGCATTTGCCGGCCATCCCATTGACGCCTAGGACTCCGCCCCCGGGGTATATGACACTGACTCCGCCCCCGACCTACAGTGCTGCCATTCATTTTCCCCCAATTGGGGACAAAATGGCCGAAACGAAGTGTTAATTTCATAAAAATTCAATACGTTGTCAAGGATTATATAAAAACAAATTTGCATTTTTTTATCTAAAGTACGAATTTTAAAATATCAAGGGGTCGGACCAAAAGGTTATCTCATTGTTATCTATATTTATTTCAAATGTCTACAAACTTTCAAATGTCATTATTAAAAAAATGTTGGTAATATTAGTGTCGCTTTTGACAGCCGTTTCACTAGTATGTATGTCATTTTTTTAATTTTTATTTTTTTGACAAGTTTTAGACACATTGTCAAATACCATGTTTCAAAGAAAATCCCAACAATTCAGTGGTACCTTATTTTTGTCTCGAAAATGACATTTGTTGCGACGAGGGTTGTTGTACTAAACCCTATATCATACCCAAAGTCAGGTCAGGTCACGTGTCAAAATATATGACATTTATTTGACATTTATGTCATTTTTTAGTATAACTCTCGGAATCAATTTATTTCTCTTCGTTTTCTTCTTATCGCTTCTTATTTGGTGTCTTGACATGACAAAACGTCTATGTCACAATGACATTAACACGATATCTGTCAATTTGGCCGTACTTGACAGTCACGGTAAAACACAAAAATGTCAAACTTTTTGTCAAAATTCTGTCACAGGATTGGACGAAATCGACGCGGATCCGCCCCCTGTGTACAGTGTTGCCATCCATTTACCCACCAACAGGATACCAACCTACGAGGAAGCGACTGAAACGTCACTATAACAAAAAACTGTATTTTTTTCTCAAATAAAGACGGCTGTGAATGTCATTTTTTTAATACGTTGCTAGGCAACCATAAATTTTGAGGTGGCGCCGCCACTGGTGACACTGACGCGTAAAATCGCATTTTTTGTGAAAGTTGTGTCAAATTTTTTGCAAGGCCTACTGCGATTATGGAACTTTTTAGGTATAATTTTTTTTGAGTGTTTGAGGTAATTTGCGTCGTAGAGGTGTGACCTTGCATTGAGTAACAATAATAGTAAAGTTTTTTGAGGTTAGGTGAAATGAGAGGTTTCAAGAGCCTTAAGGCTTGATGGAGGAGGAAAAACCAAGGTTTTTATAATGCAAATACTCAGTTTAGTTTTGTTTTTTTATTTTTTTCTGGTGAGTAATTTTGTAGGTTATGTAATCGTTGTTGTTTTGTTTTGTTTTATTAGAAAAATGTCAATTGTTGCACAGTCGACGTGATAATCCCAGACGGCCATGGTTCCTACATCCGCACGTTCAATTTCGTCGACTGTAACCTTATTTTTGAGACGTGCTGTACAGAGGGGTGTTGCCCTAGATTCAGCCACGCCCACATTTGGTAGTTGTCCCATTCCCGCCAATCACAGCCCTTCAAATCACAATTTTTAGGATTTTTGCTGGTACTTTTTCGTTCATTTTCGGGATTTGTGTTTTCGGTTGTTGGTTGTTGTGTTGCAAGAGGAGGGAGGGGAGGGTGCGCCCGCCCCGGAGGGACGACAATGGCGACTCACCAATGGTTAATTTAGTGGTTCCGGATAACCGGACTGGTGGGTTTTGGGGAGTTTAATTTTTTTTAGTAATTTTTGGTTCTAGTGGGGGGGATACAGAACACCGCCCCGGTGACTCCGCCCCCGAGCTACGAAGAAGCGACCTCTATGAGGTGATTGGGTTGTTAAATGTGTACATTTTTATACAAATTATATATTTTTTGAATAAATTTTTAAGAAAACTGTGCGTTTTATTGTTTCAAGGTCATTTTAAAGCCAAAATAAGGCTCAAATCGGCAAATTAATGTCATATTTAAAATCAGAAGGGCGAAAAATGGTAGAAAAGACTACCAACTTGCCAAACCAAAACATTTCACATAGACCCAAATCTGGTAATTTTGGTGGCAAATATTGTACAAATTGTAAAAAAAATAATTTTGTATATTCTGAATTTATATAGAGCTCATATTTGATCTGAATGAACATTTTTTTTGTAATTTTTTAATTGCCAAGTAGTTTTTTTTTAATTTTGGAAAAATAAAGGCTCAAATCGGCATATTAATGTCATATTTAGAATCAGGAGGTCGAAAAATGGTAGAAAAGACTACCAACTTGCCAAACCAAAACATTTCACATAGACCCAAATCTGGCAATTTTGGTGGCAAATATTGTACAAATTGTAGAAAAAAATAATTCTGTATATTATTAATTTATATAGAGCTCATATTTGATTTGACTGAACATTTTTTTTGTAATTTTCTAATTGCCAAGTTGTTTTTTTAATTTTGGCCAAATAAAGGTTCAAATCGGCAAATTGATATCATGTTTAGAATCAGAAGGTCGAAAAATAGTAGAAAAGACTACCAACTTGCCAAACCAAAACATTTCATATAGACCCAAATCTGGCAATTTTGGTGGCAAACATTGTACAAATTGTAGAAAAAAATAATTCTGCATATTATTAATTTATATAGAACTCATATTTGATTACAATGAACATTTTTTTTTGTAATTTTCTCATTGCCAAGTTGTTTTTTTTTAATTTTGTCCAAATAACGGTTCAAATCGGCAAATTAATATCATATTTAGAATCAGGAGGTCGAAAAATGGTAGTCAAGAGTATCCACTTGCCAAATCAAAACATTTCACATAGACCCAAATCTGGTAATTTTGGTGGCAAACATTGTACAAATTGTAGAAAAAAATTATTCTGTATATTCTTAATTTATTTAGAGCTCATATTTGATTTGAATGAACATTTTTTTTATAATTTTCTAACTGCCAAGCCGTTTTTTTTTTAAATTTTGGCCAAATAAAGGCTCAAATCGGCAAATGAATGTCATATTTAGAATCAGGAGGTGGAAAAATGGTAGTCAAGAGTACCAACTTGCCCAACCAGGACATTTCACTTGGAGCCAAATCTGGCCATTCTGGGGTCACAAACTCGAAAAATGCCATAAAAAAGGGGAAAAAAGCACAATTTCTTATAATAAAGTTATATTTATACATAAATAAGTTGCAACATTAAATAAAAATCAAACATTAACCTTAATCCTAACCTAAAACGGTTACCTATAAATTTTATTTTCCTCTGGCGGAAACGCGATAAAATAGGGTTGTCCACTGTTGCCATAATAGGGCACCCTGCCCATTGTCGAGTAATTACTCGGTCTAATGGGCGGGGCTTGCATTTTATGTGGCAACGTCGCCGAATATCCAGGCCCGTATCCGGGCCCCATGGTGTAAACGGGCGCCCCTTTCACACTACACGCACAACTACTCCCCGCCACGGGGCCCATAACCGGCGGCCCGCCCCTGTACTGACTCCCCCCCATCCTCAGTCTAATAATACAAATAATAATAATCAAAATGGCTATGAACGCAACCACGCCCCCTACAATCCCGATAATAAGCGTATCATCGTTGTTTAAACTCGAACTAGTGACCGGTTTAGGGGTTTTAACTTTTTCGGTTACCGGCACTGACCAGATAATCTCCGGTTCGGTCATCTTCGTATGCAATCGGGTGGAGCGAGGGAGGAGCGAACTACTAGTGGGCGGAGTCGTCGTAACTTTCCTCGGATCACATGTCAAGTCATCATCGGCGATCTCCACCAATAACTGGCCGAGGAGGTGTTCGGGGGCGGAGCATCGGATTGTGGTCATGTGGGAGGGGAGCCATCGACGCAATGCGCGTGCGCTACAATCGCAAACTATAGGATTGCTTTCAAGGCCTACTAGTTTCAAGTCGCCGCGTCGGTCATCAAGGGTTGCTAGGATTTGAGGAGTGAGAGTACTCAATTGACTCCCGGTCACGTCCAGTGTGATTTTTGAGGATCGGGGGACGGGGAAGAACAGAGCGGGGGGGAGGGAGGACAAGGAGGTGTTCATAATCCCAATTGTGACCTCCGGGCCTTTAATTCCTGATAGAGTCCCCGATGAGACACTCCTCAATCTCCCGCCCCTCAAACCGAGGTTTTTGAGGCGGGGATGGAGGAGGGGCTGGAGTTGGTCCGCCCCCACCGCCGAGTCTTTCGTCTCGATGTTGACTTGTTCGAGGGAGGGGAGGTGGGAGAGGAGGCCTTGGAGGTCGATGTAGCCCAGTTTGGGGTACTCAAACGCGTTGAGGTTGGAGAGGTTTGGGAGGGATTTGAAGGCTCCTTTCTCGATTTTCTCACATTGGAGGAGGGAGGAGATACTTAAGTGTTTCAAAGAGTCCAAACCTTGGAAATCACCTTGGGAGATACTCCGGATCGGGTTTGAGGACAAGTTCAAACTTTGGAGGTTTTTGAGTAAAGGCCACAAACGGGAGTAGTTTGAAATATCACTGATTTGGTTATTTGAGACATCGAGAGTTTCAAGGAGTGAAGTCCGTTCAAAAATTTTCTCATTGAGTGAAGTTATGTTGTTGTAACTCAAATTGAGGTAACTCAAAAATGGAGTTTCAAGTTGTGTCAAATCCCTAATTCCCGTTCCCGCCAAATTCAACTCCCGCATAGTTTTGGGTTCCCCCAACACATTCCTTATCGTCTCCTCTGATAAGGGATTAAAGGACAAGTCCAATTTTTTTATGTTGACCATACTGCTGTCATCAGCCGGGATTTCCCTCAATTTATTCCTCGACAAGTCAACCGACGAGACAAAAAAGTACTGTCTTTGGAGGCTTTTGAGGGGGGCCACCTCAAACAAATTCCTCCCCAACTTGATATTCTCCAACATCTGGAGTCGCGCCCTCTCGAAAATAGTCTCCGGGAGGTCACTCAAAACATTCCCCTCCAAATCGAGCAACTCCAACCGAACCAAACCCTCAAAAGTCCTCTCGGCTAACCGATCCAACTTATTGTAACTCAAATCGAGGACTTGGAGTTGCGTGGAGTTATGAAACGCCATTTCGGACACAAACTCCAATTGGTTATAACTCAAAAGTAGTACCCTCAAACGTGGCAAGCGCGCAAAATCCAACTCCTCAACGGTTTTGAGGTCATTATGCGACAAATCAACAACTTCCAAAAACTGCAACGTCGCAATCAACTCAGCCGGGAAAAAATTGAACTTGTTGTTTGAGGCTTTGAGGAGTTTGAGGCGGGGGTGAATCCTGAAGGAGGACGGGAATAAATAACTCAATTGGTTATCGGAAATGTCCAAAACCTCAAGACTCGTCCCGGTGTTGAAAAACTCCCCTTTGAAACTACTCAATTGGTTCCCCCTCAAAACCAACTCCTTGATGTTCTTCACATTGACGAAAGCCCCTTGTTTGATGTTACTAATATGGTTGAACGAGAGGTCAATTGAGGTCAAGTTGGGCAAATTGGCAAACACCCCATCGCCCAATTCTCCAATCGCGTTATTTTGGAGGTAAATCCTTCTCAATTTTGAGGATTTAGCGAAGAAATCGCCGGTTAGAAACTTCAAACCGGTGAAACTCAAATCAAACACCTCCAAATTGGGGAGTTTGTGGATCAAGTTTGAGGGAATTGAGGCAAGGTGCGAGTTGTGGCTCAAATTGAGGAACCTCAATTGAGGTACCATCCCGAAAACGTTCCTCGAGAGTTCCGTCAAGTGATTATCACTCAAATCGAGTACTTCTAACTTGATTAGGGACAAAGTCGGTCCTGTCACACTCGAAATTTTGTTTTGGCCTAAATGCAACTCTTTGAGGGTGTTTTCAAGGCCGAGGAACGCGTCCGAATTGAGGTTTGTGAGGAGGTTGCGCGTCAAGTCCAAATGGGACAAGTGTTGGAAGTACTGGAAGGAGGCGGGAGGGAGTTCACGGATGACGTTCTTCGCGAGTACTAATTTAGTGACTTTTTCGGCTATTGACCTCAAAATGTCACCAGACAGGGCTGCCACCCGATTGTAGTCCAATTGAAGTGAGGTTAGTTTGGGTAAACGACCCAAAGCCGACGCTGGGATTAACAAAATATTATTATCCTTCAAATTCAACTGTTCTAAATTATCGAGACCCTCAAAAGCGTCGTCCTCAATCTAAAAAAGGCCTCATTAGTTAGTACTCAACCTCAAAGTAGTACTTACCGTCCGGAGGGAGTTTACACTGATATCAAGCTTGCGCAGCTGTTTTAACCCTAGAAAAGTCCCAGGGGCTATGTTGGCAACACTGTTTCGGCTCAAGTCCAAATAATACAAGCCTACTAGATTGAGTAAATCATTGTTGTCCAAATTCTGAAATTCGGGGTTATAACCGAAATGTTAGTACGTAAGTCCAAACCTGGATCATATTGGAGGATAAATTGAGGTACTTCAAATCTTTGAAGACTTTGAGGGCTATAGTTGGGAATTCCGTGATGAAATTTTCCGACAAGTCCAAATTTTGGAGGTTTTGGGCCCCGTGAAACACATCACTGTTGAATCTAGTGAGTTTATTGTGGCCCAATTTGAGGGTTTTTAACCGGTTTAGCCCACTCAAAGCCCCTCCTTCGATGCTAGCAATGTTGTTTGAGGCCAAATTAACCGTTTCGAGGTTCGGTTGTGCGCCAAAAGCGGCGTTTTTGAGGCTTGTGATCCGATTTGAGGCTAGTGAGAGGATTTTGAGTGATTTGGGGCCGTTGAGTGACGAGCTTGGTACTCCAGTTAGACTATTCCTCTCCAAGTAAAACTCCTGTAAATTGTCACAACCCTCCAAAATCCCCTCCTCCACTGCCCTGATGATGTTTCCACTCAAATCCAAAACCTGTAAATGCCCCAAACCCCGGAACTCACTGGTGGCAAAAATGGGGTTGAGGGTGTCCCCTAGGAGGTTATCTGCGAGGCGGAGTTCAACCAAACTCGATTGTAAGCCTTGGAGGAGGCGTTCGGTTAACCTCCTCAAAGAGTTGCCTGAGAGGTCGATGGTCCTCAACGGGAGGCCAGTTGAGGAGAAGATCTGCAAAAATTTGGTTAGTTGGTGATTTTGAGGGTTTGAGGGTTACTTGAGTTGGGAGGGCTTGGTGGCCGGCCCAGCGCTGGCTGAAGGAGACAATGGGGGCGCCGAAGGGGAGTGAGGGGAGGTCTCCAGGGAAAACGACTCGGTCGCAGTTGACACTGATGGAGGGGTTGCCGTCGAGGGCGGCTTCAGGGGGGCCCAAGGCGCATGTGCAGGGGAAGCGGAGGTCGCGCGAGATTTCCGAACAGGGGATGAATGAGGGGGTGGCCACGGCGAGGGGGAGGGTCACAAGCCAAAAGAAGTTCATCTGGAAGAAAAAATTGCAAACCACGGCTTTTCACATGGACTCAGATCTGGTTGTTTTGGTGGCAATTTCAGTTTTTTTGTTGTTTTAGCGAAAACAAAACAAGTTTTTTTGACCAAAGTGCTAAAAATAAGAATTAAATAATTCTTAACTTTTTGAGTTTTTTTCCTCAAAATCCTCAAACAAAAATTAACTTAAGAAAAAATCACAGTCGGAGGCTTTAGAGGGTTTAAAAAGTCAAATTAAGGTTGCTTAAAGAGCTAGAAGGCTTAAAAAATGTGCCAAATAGTAAACCAAGACTTTTCACATGGACTCAGATCTGGTTGTTTTGGAGGCAATTTGTAGAAATTTAATTTTTTTGTCGTTTTATCGAAAACAAAACAAGTTTTTTTGACCCAAGTGCTAAAAATAAGAATTAAATAAATCTCGATTTTTTGAGTTTTTTACCTCAAAATCCTCAAACAAAAATTAACTTTAGAAAAAATTACATTCGGAGGCTTGGGAGGGTTTAAAAATCAAATTAAGGTTGCTTAAAGAGCTAGAAGGCTTAAAAAATGTGGCAAATCTCGTAGCAAACCAAGACTTTTCACGTGGACTCAGATCTGGTTGTTTTGGTGGCAATTTGCTGAAATTTCAGTTTTTTTGTCGTTTTATCGAAAACAAAACACAGTTTTTTTGACTAAAGTGCTAAAAATAAGAATATAATAAATCTAGACTTTTTGAGTTTTTTTCCTCAAAATCCTCAAACAAAAATTAACTTTAGAAAAACTCACAACCGGAGGCTTGGGAGGGTTTAAAGAGTCAAATTAAGGTTGCTTAAGGAGCTAAAAGGCTTAAAAAATGTCCCAGACTTTTCGCATGGACTCAGATCTGGTCATTTTGGTGTCATTATGTAAAATTACTGATTTTATTTATTTTTTGTAAATTTTACTAAAAGTAAGACAGTGAATTGAAGCTATTGATCAACAAAAGTAATAAATAAAAATTTACTTTTTAGATTTTTTGTGTTTTTTCCCTTTTAAAGCTCTCAATTAAAAGTCGAATTTTCTCGGTTAAAATTTTTGCAAAAAATACAACTTTATAGTCATTTATGGCATAATTAATCATAAAATTGATTAAAATGACGCTAAATATACAAATTTTCAAAAATTAGAGAAAAAACATTTTGAATTTGAAACAAAAGGTGCAACTTGGGTGGTAATAAAATTCACAAAATTGACAAAAAATTCAAAAATAGATAGTGAGAATTGTCAAAAAATCATAAAAATGCGCAAATTGAAGCATAAATAAAAAAATATTTAAAAAATGTAAAAAAATTTAATTAGTAAAAAAAATATTTGAAATTAGATACAAAAAATATGATGTATGAAAAACTAAGATTTTTCAGATAGACTTAGATCTGGGCGTTTTGGTGTCACACTATGCAAAACATCAAATTTTTAAATTTTATTTTGTTTTAGATTCATTTACTAAAAAAATAAATAAAAAAATATAATTGTTCGATTTTTTGTTTTTTTTTCCAATACGAAAATCTTGCAATTGTCGCAAAATCGCAAACCATGACTTTTCACATGGATTCAAATCCGGTCATTTTGGTGTCATTATGTAAAATTACTGATTTTATTTATTTTTTGTAAATTTTACCAAAAGTAAGACACTGTATTGAAGCTATTTATCAACAAAAGTAATAAATGAAAATTTATTTTTTACATTTTTTGTGTTTTTTCCTTTTAAAGCTCTAATTAAGAGTCGAATTTGGTTAAAATTTTTGCGAAAAATACAACTTTATGGTCATTTATGGCACAATTAATCATCATCATCAAATTTTCAAAAATTTGGGAAAAAATATTTGAAATTTGAAACAAAAAGCTGAAAAAAATGAACAAAAAAGCGAAAATTGACAAAAAATCAAAAATAGATAGTGAAAATTGTCAAGAATCATAAAAATGCGCAAATTGAAGCGTAAATAAAAGAAATATTTAAAAAATGACAAAGATTTTAATTAGTAAAAGAAATATGTGAAATTAGATACAAAAAATATGATGTATAAAAGAAAAACTAAGACTTTTCACATGGACTCAGATCTGAGCGTTTTGGTATCACACTATCCAAACCATCAAATTTTTAAATTTTATTTTGTTTTCGACTACTAAAAAAAATAATAAAAAATTGTTCGATTTTTTTTCCCAGTACCAGAAGGCTTGGAATGGGTTAAAACATCAAATTAAGCTTGTTTGGAGACTCAGGCGGCTTGAAATTGTCGCAAAATCGCAAACCAAGACTTTTCACATGGACTCAAATCCGGCTATTTTGGTGCCACTACACCCATTTTCGTTACTTTTTGAGCACTTTTTCGCTGTTTTATGACCAAAAATGATAAATAAAAGCGTAATTTCGCTATTTTTCCCCTTTGTTGCACTTTATCGAAACCAAACTCATTAAATTATCAAAGAAAGTGAGCTCTCAATCACGCAACATTATCATCACTTTTATAAACCCATCACAGCCGCCTATTACGCTAATTGGCGCCACTTTTCATTCACGTTGGTGACATTTCAATCATTTTCACGATTGTTATCGCAAATTGCTGAGAATTTCCATTGAAAACTCGTCCGTTTTTCATGTTTCTAACAGTTCTACAACAATCGCCTTTTAAGTCTTTTAATAGTCTTGTCGCAATTTCTCGATTTCTCTGATGAAGAAAAAACACCAACGACGAAACGAGGAAGAGTTCAATGCCGTTATAATGATACAGAGTGGCTCAGAACATTCCTCATTCCCGTTAGAAATCCGGAGTTTGGCGGAAAAACGCGACAATGACTAATTAATTAAGTCAATGTGTGGAAAGTGGGCCGAATTTGGGTTGCTAATTAGGCCCTTTGTTTTTTTCTCTCAATGGAATTCTTCAACTTTTTCTTTCTTTTTCGGTGTTTAGCACAATTGTGGTTGCGTGATTCTTGTCATTGAGATGAAATTGAGGTAATTGAGAGGTGGGACCGGCAATAAAACGATTTTTTTGTCATTTTTTCCTAATTTTTGTTTCCGGAGAATTAATTTCTTTTCATTTAAATTGAAAAATTTTAGTTTTTAAATTGGATAATTTAATATTTTTGGCATTTCTAATGGTGCTAGCGGCTCAGAAAGAATCATTTATTGGGATGAGTTTGAAAAAATTGAATTTGTTAAGTTTTTGAAAAATGGTCAAAAAAATTATCGTAAAAAAGATACAATTTTGCTGACCATGGCGAAACTCTACCTTTAAGGTATAATGTTTTGATGTGTACGCATGTAAAGTGTTCCGGGAAATCGATTGGCGTTGAGGAAACTACAAAATTTGTGATAGTTTTGAAGTTATAGTCGAATTTATATTTTTGAAAATTTAAAATTTTTCGATTTTTTCTAAAGGAGAATGTGGGCATTTTTACGCCAAACAGAGCAGAAAATTGGTTTCTATGTCTTAGATTATAAAAAAAAATTACTAAAGTGTGCCCAAATGCCTTTTTTTGATGATTTTTGTCAAAATAGCCATTGCAAACTTTGTATTTTTTAAAAGAGTTGTCTTCATTTTTTTTATTTTTTTTTGTGTGAAGTAGGGTTACATGTCAGTGCTTTAATTTGTAAAAAGGGCTTTTTTTCTTGTCAGAGTTAAGACTAACAAAGGTAGACCACTACTAAGACTATAATGTGGCAAAAGGGCATTTTGGTAAGCTATGTAGTTTCAGAATTAGAATTTTTTAGATATTTTCAATAACGAGGCAAAATAAATTATTTTTCAGTTGTTTTCTTACATATTTTTTATTGATTTTTTCATTAAATGTAGGCAAAAGGAATATTTATGTTGTGTCAAAACGGCATTTTGATCTGAGTTTTGGTTCCATTCTGAGAAATTTTTGAAAAATTATTTAATTTTTTTCGAATTAAATTCACGCAAAACGTTGATTTTTTACTGTTTGTAACATTATTTTGAAACAATTTTTGCATAAAAAGTAGGACAAATAACAGTACTCAAATCTGATAAAAGGGCACATTAGTTTGTTTTTTAATTCCAAAATTACAATTTTTTGAAATTTTTTTATATTTGAGACTTGCGAATGGCTCAAGATTCGTAATTTTTTGACACTATTTCTATAACTTTTTTTTGAATAAAATTTCGCCAAAAAATAAATGACTGCCAAAGCTTTAATGTGGCAAAAGGGCATTTTGATAAGTTGTATAGTTTCAGAATTACATGTTTTTTAAAATTCAATAAATAAACCGGATATGACGTAAAATAAATTATTTTTCAGTTGTTTTCTTACAAATTGTTTATTGATTTTTTCAGAAAATGTAGGCAAAAAGCATATTTATGTGGTGCCAAGACGGTATTTTGATCTGAATTTTGGTTCCATTCTGAGAAATTTTTGAAAAATTATTTAAATTTTTTCGAATTAAATTCACACAAAACGTTGATTTTTTCACTGTTTTTAACGTTATTTTGAAACAGTTTTTGCATAGAAAGTAGGACAAATAACAGTACTCCGATTTGCTAAAAAGGCACATTAGTTTGTTTTTTAATTTCAAAATTACAATTTTTTGAAAATTTTTTGGGACTTGGGAATGGCTCAAAATTCGTAATTTTTTGACACTATTTCTATAACTTTTTTTTGAATAAAATTTTCCCAAAAAAATGGTTGACTGCCAAGGCTTTAGTGTAGCAAAAGGGCATTTTGATAAGCGTAGTTTTAGAATTAGATTGTTTTTTTAATTCAATAAATAAACCGGACATGAGGCAAAGTAAATTATTTTTTAGTTGTTTTCTTATACTTTTTTGCTTGATTTTTTCAGGAAATGTAGGCAAAAGGCGTATTTATATGGTGCCAAAACGGCATTTTCATCTGAGTTTTGGTTCCATTCTGAGAAATTTTTGAATAATTATTCACTTTTTTCGAATTAAACTGACCCAAAATGTTGCATTTTATCACTGTTTTTAATGTTATTTTGAAACAATTTTTGCATAAGAAGTATGACAAATAACAGTGCTCTAATTTGCTAAAAGGGCACATTAGTGCGTTTTTTAATTTCAAAATTACAATTTTTTGAAAACTTTTTCATATTTGGGTCTTGGTATTGGCTCAAAATTCGTAATTTTTTGACACCGCTTCTGAATTTTTTTTCAATAAAATTTTGTCAGAAAATAGATCACTACCAAGGCTATAATGTGGCAAAAGGGCATTTTGATAAGTTGCGTAGTTTCAAAATTAGAATTTTTTTAAATCATTAACCCCCTCATTAAGTGTTAACAAATTTTTAGTTTTTTTTGTTTTGTAAATTGCGGCAAAACTGTGCCTCAATGATATAATACTTTGACCTAAGCCTATGTAAAATGTTCCAGGGAATCGATTGGCGTCAAAAAAACTGCAAAATTCCTAGTAGTTTTGAAGTTATAGTCGGATTTATATTTTCCATACTTTTGACTTTATCACAAATTTTCTCGATAACTATTTATCGTAGAGCACTGATCTTTTTTTTATATAATAGAAAATTAAATTCTCTTTCCAACGGTACCAAATATAAGAGGTTATCGCCAATAAGTCCGGAGTTATTGGCAATTGACCGTTCCGGGTACCAAAAATCGCCCAAAATTGTGTCAAAAATCCAAAAATCGGAAACTTCAAAATTGATTCAAAAGCACTTCTAGAAGTCCAAAATTGTAAAAAACAACAATAATTACATTGAATTAAAGCAGAGACACTTGCCGGAGGCGTGGTGGCGCAGCGGTCACCCCAATCACAACAACAATTTTTCTCAAATTCAAACTCAAATAATAAAACCCAACAATTTTACGAGAAAAAAACTCCCAATTTTCTAACATAACTGCGGTTTAAAAGCCCCAATTCCACGCTTTGCTTGTCTCAAATTCCACAACAGAATAATTAAATTATAACACTATTCAAACCTCCTTAACTGTTTGTTTGAAAACTTTTCATCAATCGTCGGTCAATCACCTGAAAACTTGCGATTTCCGCCTGAAAAAATCATTTTTTCCTGAAATAATAAAGGAGAATAACGGTTTTTGCGCTGAAATAAATCGAACTGTTGATACAGAATGGCTAGCTTAAGGGCATCTTGACCGCTAGCTCATAAGTAGGTTGCTCAAATCGAACATTTCAGCTGAAATTTCCCACAAAATGGCCTTTTACTAGTGAAAGTGAGCGGAAAATCGCCATTATTCGACCATCTGCACTATCAATTGTTGATTATTTCTTTGAAATTTCTCGAGAAATGGGAAAATGTCAAGGATGCGCTACCTGCAGGCGATGGAAACTCCCCGTTATGCGTTTTTTATGCTTTTCCAACTGTAAAACGTGATGAACTATTCGGTTGCAAAATTTCTTGTTACATCACAAGGCACAAAAAAATGATATTTTTAGCTTGTTGGGAGGATGTGCGTTAGAATAACGTGACTTTTATGTAATTTTACGAATTAAAATTCTTACAACACACCTACTGGATTAGCATTATGGCTGTGGTCAGCCTCGCAATCGACCGGATTTGAGTCCAATTGAGTTGGTTTGGGGCTTGATCGGAGGATGTGGGCATTTTTACGCCAAACAGAGCAGAAAATTGGTTTTTATGTTTTAGATTAATAAAAAAAATTACTAAAGTGTGCCCAAATGGCGTTTTTTGATGATTTTTGTCAAAAAAGCCATTTCAAAGTTTGTATTTTTTTAACACTGTTGTCTTAAATTTTTTTAATTTTTTTTTGGTGGGAAGTAGGGTCAAATGTCAGTGCTTTAATTTGTAAAAAGGGCTTTTTTTCTTGTCAGAGTTAAGATTTTTTTTATTTTTTTTTAAGTTGGGTGTGGCTCAAGAATCATAATTTTTTTGACACCGTTTCTGACAATTATTTTAATTTAAATTTTGCCCAAAGGAAGTTCACTACTAAGACTGTAATGTGGCAAAAAGGCATTTTGATAAGTTATGTAGTTTCAGAATTAGAATTTTTTAGATATTTTAAAAAAATTTCAGTTGTTTTCTTACATATTTTTCATTAATTTTTACAGAAAATGTAAGCAAAAAGCATATTTATATTATGCCAAAACGAAATTTTGATCAGAGTTTTGGTTCCATTCTGAGAAATTTTTGAAAAATTATTTAATTTTTTTCGAATTAAATTCGCACAAAACGTTGATTTTTTACTGTTTTTAACATTATTTTGAAACAATTTTTGCATAAAAAATAGGAGAAATAACAGTACATTGATTTGCTAAAAGGGCACATTAGTTTGTTTTTTAATTTCAAAATTACAATTTTTTGAAAATTTTTTGGGACTTGGGAATGGCTCAAAATTCGTAATTTTTTGACACTA